TGACAATCAAATGTAATTTGTGAAATACTCAATCAAATTGACAGAAAACAACAAAATTTGATTAATATTTATGGATAGAACACATTTGATCAATTTTTAATTAAAAATCAAAAAGTCAATTGCTTCAAAGGGCTATTGACAATATGTCTTTCTGCCCTATTTTCAATTATTTATTAGTATTAACTGATTGAATGGTTTAGAAATATTCATAGTTAAATTTAAAAATATTAAAAATATGTTTTGAAACATTGACTTAATACTAACTTCTGGTAAATAAATATTTGATCTAAACTAAAAATACATTATTACTATTCTATTCTATTAATATTTCGATTTTTTTTTTCTAAAACAGTAAATAAATATGTTTTTATTTTCTAGTGTTTCATTCAAAAAGTAGATGTGTTAAAAATATTGGATTCCAATACTGTTGTATTTGAGCATGTACATGAGAATTAGAAAATATTGCTTTTATGAAACAACAAATAGAAAAAGAAAATGTTCATGAAATGAGAACTCTTAGTGTTTTCATAGATTTACTATTTTCCCCACAAATGTTAATAATAATGAGATTTTCGGAATAACCCAAAACAAAAACAAAAATAGTCAAATAAGAATAAATAAATTAAATATATATAAAAAAAGAGAAATATAGGGAAGACGACAAAATAATAAATTAGGAATTTCGCTTGAACTAGTGTCCAACTAAAGAGAGAACAAGAGAGAGAGAGAGGGTCTGTGGGTTTTTGGGTTTTTCGGAAACTGAACGTACTGAGTGTGACAACGTTTTGGTTTTCTTTGTTTATTTTTTTTATAAATTGTGTGTTAATTTTATTATTAATCTTTTCTTTTTTAATTGCATAACTCGCAGCAGGCTCTACAAACTAATCTAAGCTAAGAGAGAGGCAGGATGACGAGCGAAACACAAAAGAAACACTACACACTAAGAGGATGATGTAATATTATGGATGTGTGATTGGGGAGAAATGTTCGGAATGCAACGTACCTTTCTTCTGGCGGTGATATCTGTGGATTCGATGAAGCTGTCCGTAGTCTGGCGGTTCCTCGGTGGATTCGCTGCTCACGCTTCCTCCGCAAGAACTCGTTGGCGAAGAGTCGCTCGACACAGATGTCAACATCACGTCGCAGAGATCCGCTCTCACCTGCATAATATAATAACATTAAATTTCTTGTTTTATTTCAAAGTTTTGTAATCGAAAATTGTTTTTTAAATATACGATTTTAATAATAATAATTAAATAAAGCAATTCTTAGCATAGTGCGGTTTCGATCAATCAGGATTTACTATAGTAAAATTTCAATTTTATAATTCAATTGACAAAATAAATTTTAAGAAAATAGTACACAAAATTATTTTACATATATCTCTTTTTGTAATGTTTAATTTTATACGGTTTCAAAGTCCTCGATTAGTGCGATTTCAAATAGTCCGCAATATTGAACGAAAACAAACTGACCGGGTAACCGCACTATGTGATTCGCTTAACGTACATTTGTATCTTTGTACTCATGAACGTACTCGACGTTCTTTGGAACTTTGTTGTACGACTTCGACATGGTATGCTGAAAAATTTCCTATTCAGCTTCCAAATGGACTACATATTTCGATTTTATTTCAGTCAAAACATGATATTATTTATTTTTAGTTTTATAAGAAAGAAGATACTCATTTGTTAATTTATAGCCGTCTACTGTTCAGTCTTATATCATTGTACGTTTGTATGGATATTTATACGTTTGCTCGGTCATTTAATTGTTTGATAAGGGGATTTTTAGATTCTTAGTAAAATTAATTATATAAAATAATAAAAAATATTATCCGTTTTTCATTTAGTTTTTGTACTGTTGAAATAAATGTTAACATTGTGTTATAGTCATTGACCACAAGAATAATAAGTCGTTCCGATTCGGTACAGCATAATTCGGGTCGTTTACCTAAAGCTCGCATGTAAATGGATTTGTTAGTCAATCTGTAAGTCTCCATAAACATGGATGAGTATGGATGAGCAGAGCTAGGCGAAACGTGTACGCGAATTGACCTTGTATAATGAAGATCACGTACCTTTGGGTCGGTCAGGTCAACGTCCCTTTCGACGTGAATCCATCCGGTTGCTCGGCATGCTTCGTCCAAGCAGGTGGTCGTCACGTCGAGGTGCTCTTGGCTCGCGTCGTTTCCGTTCTTGATCATTCGGTTGAGTTCGTCGATCACGTCTTTGCTGGTCGCTCTCTCGTGGAAGCTCACCGCTCTGTGAGGTGGACCGTCTATGATGTCGCTCACCACGCCGGAAGTAGACTGCGGCAGTCGCTCGGAAGTTATGGCCGACTGCTGCTGCTGCTTTTGGTGTTCCGGACTCTTCACTTTGATTTCTGGCTTAGGTTTGGCCGTCCTATGAGGAATCCGACTGGCACCCTTCGCTCCGCCCTGTTTGAGGGATTTGGCCGGACTTATGGGTATCTTGGATGACTTTCGACGTGGTATCTTCGACACGATCGTCTCCGGCGTGCTCACGCTCGAGGTCAGCGACTCGCTCAGCTCGGAGTCTTTCTGGTACTCGGTGGAGCTCAGCTCCACATTAATACTGCTGCATATATCAACCGGATGCTCACTAAGCATCGAGCAGCTCTCGCTCTCGATGATGTCGATCGGCGTCACGAGGCATACCTCGTCGGCGTACGCTATCTTCGGCTGCTGCACATCACAGGTGACTTTGATGTCGTCTACGGCTTGCGGGGGCGGCGCCTCGATGTTGAACTCCTTGGTGGCAACCGCCTCCATCGGTTTCGTTTCCCTCGTGTACTTCTGCTGCTCCGCTATGAACGTGAGCACATTCTGCAGGGCCGTCTCCCTTTCTCCATTTTCGGATAGGGCGCCCCCTCCGCAGCCGCCTCCGCCCAAGCTGCGTGACGAACTGGATGCCAAGCTCTTCGTGCTCTCAAACTTCACCAATCTGTCAGATCAAAAACAACGAAACAAACAAAAACAATTAGTAACGCTTCTACCGTATACAAATTCAACCAAACAACCCAAGGCTTAACAATTTCATCTTCGGGCTCAAATAAGAGGAAAGTCTTCTGTGAATTTCCACGAAAATTTCAAGCATAATATTTTGTTTGATGTAGACCCACCAATGCAATTATAAAACCTCTCTAAATGAGTGTCAAATAGTTAATCTATTTGCTACGATTTTCAAGCATAATTCTTGACATACAAGTATTAAAAAAAAGTATTAATCCAACCAGTAAATTAAATTAGAATTTAATTCTAATGCATTCTATATAAATAATCAATAAAATATTCTACAAACAAAGGATCTAACAAAAAAATTAATTCGAAATATATAAATTAGTCAATACTTTGTTTATTGATTATAATTATTTATTGCAATAAATTTTATTGATAAACGATTTTTGTATATTAAAAAATAAATAAATTATTAAATAATATTGCAAATTAAAAATATCTTTTCTGTGTATTTTGTTGTTTTTAAAAATTGTCAGCAATTATGTATTATGAATGTTTAGAAATATAAAATGTTACCTGTAATAATCTCTGGTGAAATAAGTTTCGATTGCCGGAAGTTCTCCTGTGTCGTCACTGCAGCATCCGCTCAAAACGGCCGAAGACCTCTTCGAGGAGGGATCGTTCTGAGAGTTGCAACAGTCCGAGGCGCTTGACCAGCTGCTATCCGGAGAATGGTGTATGTTGCTGCTGGTGGCGTAGGGCCATTGTTTTTCGCCGTCCATCAAAAGAGTGACCACGTCCTGTCCCACCATGTAACTTGACTCATTCCACAAAATCTCGCTGGAATCCTCTTCTAGTTCGAAGGCGTTGTTCTCCTGGATGCTGGGCAACGTAGAAATCTGCGAGATTTGTCCCGGGGTTATTGCGTCCCCCGTTTGCGACTTCTTCCAATGCTCAAGCCTCGTCGAGTCCAGCTCATTGGATATATTCAGACTCCAATCCTCGAGCTCATTGTGATCGTATTCTAATTCGAAGAGATCTCGGTGCTGCTGCTGCAGATTTGAGCGCGTATCGTCCAACTTAAGCCAGTGCTGGATGTATTCCGCGTCCATCGTGGAACATTCTACCCGTTCGTCTGCAAAGCTCGACCAAGAGCCGGGAGATTCATTCTTTTCCCCATCGACTAACATAACAATTATATGACTTTTGATAAAACATTTATTGAAAATCCAAATCTCACCCAGTAGACTCGTCGCTTTTGTCCTCCGCAGCGGATTAATCGATTTATCGCTAAGGTCCAAGAGCAAGATGCTCGGGCTGCTCGATATCGGCGAGCTGAAGGTGTAACATGGACTCGGCGCCGTCGTAATTTTGATGCAGAGGTGCGAATCGGAAAAGCTGCGCATGATGTGCTGAAAGGGCAGCAGGTCCTTGCCAGGGGGGAAGCTGTTCCTGGGCTTAAGGTTGTTCAGAAGATTGATGGGGATGTAAATGACTTCCGGGTCTTTGTTGTTGTTCTCAGAGGCGAGCAGTCGCGTCTCGACGTCCTCTTCCTTGAGGTCCTCTAACTGGCTATCCCCGACACCCCCCGTACGCGTCACTTCCGCTTGAACGTCCGATGACATCGTCGAATAGCCCTCGTCGCGGTTTCCGCTCTCCGGTGACTCATTTCCCGTTTCCTCCTCGCTCTTGGATTGCGCTGAAAACACGGAAACGCACGATATTTTATATCCGCAAACGGCAAAACTCGAACTCTTACCTAGGATTGGTTTACTTCTTCGGTACTTGGAGGCCTGGAGAATGGGAAGCTGCAGGTTCAAGGAGACCGGTCGCTGCGGTGGAATCCAGAGTGCCGAATCTACAGCACTCAGTGCTTCTATTAATCTCTTCGGTGTGACTTCTGTTCCCTTCAGTTCAGTCCACAGTTTGGTCAGTACGTGATGTCTCTTCTTATCTTCGAGCGAAAGACCGGGATCCTTGCTCTTCAGCTCGCCTTTGGAATCTAGTATGTCCGAATCGAAGGAATTGCAGTGTCTGAACGTCAAACTACTCCTCATCAAATTCGATGGTGAAGCATCCGCGGAAGTATTGTTGTCCTCACTGTGACTATCCTCCAAAGCCAGATGGTTCGGCGGATCGTTCAGCTGATGCACAAGCATCGAGGTCAACGTGCAGTTCTGCGCCTCAAGATCTTGAATTCTACTGTTCAGCACCGCCACCTCCTCCTTCAAACCCTGCGACAGAAGAAAACAACAATAGTACACACAAAATGATATACATCCAATTGATAGTTCACCTTTTGCGTGACAAGGGCTCGCACCACTTGATTCGCTACGTCGTCCAGGCAACGCTCGTACTGTTTCCGTGACTCCTCGGCCTGTTTCTGCATGAGCAGCGCCTGAGTGGCCGTGGAATTCTCCAGATTGTTGCAGGACTGCTCGATCTGCTGCCGCAACGAGAATATCTCCTGATTGAGGCGCGTTATCGTGTTCTGGTATTGCTGGCAGCGATTCTAAACATAAAAAAAGGAAATAATAAAAAAACGTTATCAATTGATGGGACCCGTCATTGTCCATAAAAACCAGTCGCAGGATAATAACGAGAAGAGGTTGCTCGTCCTTTCCTTCCTCTCTCTTAGCTTTTTTTTTTTTATTTTTGAAGGGCCTCGATAACATTTAATGAAATACGAGACGACGGGATGGGGAAAATGCGGGGGAGAGTTTCCTTTGTGTCTGTTTGTTCTTCTGTTTTCCTTTCTTACCTCGAACGCGATCGTCAGAGCAGCCTTTTCCTGCCTCAATTGTTCCGACTGCTTTTTATACGTGAGCATCGACAAAACTGTCTCTTCCATCCTGAAAAAGAAACAAAGATATAAATAAAATGAAATAGTAGTGAGAGCAATATGCATTTTCGGTTTATTGCGTGGAAGATTAAAACTGCGTTTATTTCGAAAGCCCCTAAGGTCCCTAAGGATGGACGTTCTTAGTGAGTGTAAACACTCGACACTTTGCGAGCGAGCCACGTGGCAGGAAATTCGACAATGGAAAAATGGGGGACGAAGGTTACTGGAAAATTTCACCGAGAGCACTTAACGCAGAAGAACGGAAAGAAAGTGGAAGAGCACGAGGAAGCGGAGGTGGAGGAGGATAAGAATGAGGAATAAAAAGAAGTACCGGCAGCCTTATTTATCGGGGTTAATTAAAGACAAACCCTGCTGCTTCTCATCCTTCTCCTCCACCGGTTGTTACGAAACCCTCTTTCTCCTGATGGAAAGCACGAGAATACGCAGCGATTAAGACTTGTAACCCCTACTCTCTCGAACGTGAAAAGAACTAATTGCCCGTGAGATAAAACTCAACAGCAGAAAATGACAAAAGATTAACTCAACAACATTTGCTCGTTTGTTTCCGGTTTACTTCCAGCGCTTTTGAAAATACTTTACATAAGATGCCCCTTTTATTTTAGGCGCTTGTTACTAGTCCCAACTTCAAAATGATCCATTATGACAACAAAAGGTATTAAATAACAAAAACGTTTCAAAAGTTTCATTAGAAGGTAATTTAGAGAAAATCATTTACATATTATATGTTTATCTTCTCATAAACGAAACATCAATGTTTAATTACTTATTTATTGAGTCCCACTAATAGAATAATTTAACTGTGACAATAAAATTAATCGATTGAATTCATTAAGAACGTCTACAAACTGCTTTAATTGTCTGATAAACTATTCTTCTTTTGAAGATTGTTTACCTTCGGAATACGTAATTTGGAATAACAAAATTACAAGCCATAAAGGTTTATTACTATAGGAATGAGCTCCTTTCTAATCGATAATCATAAAGGAAGACAACGGCGTAGACACCAAAAGCATGCAAAGATGATGAAGGTGGAAACTGATATAATGTTATTACATCAGAAAGAGCGTAGATAGCCTTTGGCAGTTTGGAACACTACCCGAATCCATCTTATTTACACCCCCGTTTGTACTCAGCTCCAATTAAAATATCTCTTAACTCTGCTTATCCGATTTAACCGGAAAGCTGTTATAGTTACAAAACTAATGGAGCTTGAGGGATCTGCAAGATTTAATTAAATCATTAATTACGTGAAAAATATTATTGAATTTTCATTAATTCAAAATGTCATTTAAATTTATTATTTACTATACCATTATTTACCACAAACAGCAAGAGTTTAGTTAGATTTTATATTTCTTGTAATAAAAATGTAACAATTCGTAAACGTCTTCCAATATCTTCGATTGTACACTGATCTGTACATCTTCAAATGTATTATTTTATCCCTCTTTGTATCAATTCCATAGTTACACCCTCTCTTCTTTCATCATTCTTTTTACATCGCTAGATAGACTTATTTTTTGGAATCATTTCGGAAAGTTTTGAATGATGACCGAATCATGATATTTTTTTTAACAGTATTTAAACTTATTCTCACAGAATTTTGTTGTGTATAACTGCATGAAACTTCAATATTTATTGGACAGTATATCTGTTGGGAAATTTTGTTCGAAAACCGAGGTAAATCTATTATTATAATATGATTTTCAACAAATTAAATTGTAGTGCTGATTTGTGTAAAAAAAGCTAATGTTTCAACAAAGTATATAAATTCTATTAAAAATTATTTGACTTTCAATTTGTAGAATTGCAACTCTTGCACTGAGCAGAAATCGTTACGTAATTTGGATTCGCAACGGTTATAAAAAAAAAGATTAAGAGGCACACAATACGTTCCATGAATGTACAATTCTTGTAATAGCAGCACTTCGCCCTCCTGATGAAAATAATAAAAACCAAAGACATTCTCTTTTAGCGCCTCCTGTTTCCCCTCGAAACGGCCAGGCCTTTTTCTTCATTTACGCGTAAGCTTTTTTCCGCACGAAATTTACTGGCAGCAATAAAGTCCCTTTTCGGCCGATATTATTTCCCGTTTTTTTTTTGTTCGCTACTCTTGCGATGTCACAGGATATGGGTTTTGCTGTTGCTCGTACGATTAGTACGACTCGATACAAGTTTCGATTAACGGAGGAGCAAAAAGAAACAAACAAACAGTAGCAGCGATTCAATTTCCGCGAAAACTCGGAGTGGGTGGGAGTGGAAATGGGTGGAAACCCTGAGAAGCGTTCACATTGTAAACTCGACTATCGATTTCGCGACTATATAAAAGTTGAAGCTAGACATCCAATTTTAGGTCAGCGAATACAATGAAGAGGAAAAAAATTGTATATAATGGAGCGAGTGAGGAAAGAGAGCCTGAGGACACGACGCCGGTTTCCACCAGACACAAAAAGGTTTTCCGAGCGACATTCTCTTTATCGCGACAAATGATTGACGCAAATTGGGACTGTCCTTGCGTTATTTATGTTCTACTTGGTCACAGTATATATATTTTTATACATTAAAATATATTACAACTTTACAACAAGATCTAAAGCACGTACAAGTATGAATACATACTTATTGAATTTAGATTTTGTTTATGGTTTATAACAAGGATAACCAATTTAATTTGTGATATAATGATTTTCCTTTTTAACTGGATTATTAGTACACATCTTTTTGATTGGTTTTACCAAGTTGAAGATAAATATAATCTGCTAAAAAAATCTGTTATATGCCTATTTTATAATATACTAATAAAGTTTGTTGTGAATCATATAAAACAAAAAGTAATAAAATAAATAATGTAACATCAATTTATTTTATTGCAATAATTAAAACTATTGCAACAGATACAGTAGGATAGATACTCATTTTAAATTTATATAAAAATGTAGCAAATTTTGATTAAAAGATGAGATGCATCGAAATATAAGATGCGCCGAAATTAATGCGACAATTTTAAGAAAAAAAAAGTTATGTAAAAGACCAATTTCTCTAAATACAACTGTTGTCTCATATTTAATAAACTACGATATTCATGCAAATGTTGTACTAGAAACATCAACTCGGTCAATGTATACATTTACTAGTCGATGCACAGATATAATAGTAAATACACAAATTTTATATGATAGTTAAGTACAATTACTTAACCATATTTCATCTATTAACTGCATTCTAATTTAGTTATTATTTATTAAAATTCATGTTGATACTTTAACTAATTTGTTGTATCAATAGTAAATACAGCAATACCCTAAATTGTGCGGATTCAATGAGTTCGGATTCACTACAGTCCGGTTTTAATAAATTCTAAAAAAAATTTTTTTATTAATTGCAAATTATCGTTTTTTTTTCACTTTGACTGTAGACAAGTCTCCTTTTGTACGGTTTATTTTGAGTTCCTCGGTTAGTCCAGTTTCAAATAGTCTGCGATTGCTATAGACTAGTTAGTACTAAAAATAGTAAACTTAATTATATTGAGTTAAAATTACAAATAGTATAAATCTTTGGTAAATGTACACAATGACTAACTAGTAAGAATATCGAATAATGATCCTCAAATTGTAACAGCTGGACTTGGAATCCACTGTATTCTTCAGACCTTGCACCAACTGACTACCATTGTTTATAAACATTGAACCACTTCTTACTATGAAAAATATTTAATTCCTAATAAGTTGTAGAAAACACCTTTCTCGATTTTATCACCGCTCGCTCTTAACAAGTTCCCATTATAATGGCAAAACTGTGTCTCATACTTTGATTAATTATACTGCTTCTTATTTGAGATATAATAAACCAAACTTTCAGTTCGAAATCGAACATTTCATTGTTAATGACCTAATATTTCATTTTCTAATTTTTTACTGCAACACATATAATGAAAATACATGTTCACTTTCTTCACTAAACTATTTACTAAGTATTTTGCTCATTTTGAAGAGATTGTCCAAAATCATGTATGTCTCATGTCACGTAGTACGTACGTATCATACATTGGTGGTATGGTGCGTCCTATTATTCCATTACCATCAAAGCATTGAAATCTTGTAACATTAATAACATAAATCAATTAATTTTTTTATTTTCAAGAAAATCTTCCGTCTTGCGTCAATCTTAAGTGGAACGAATTATGAAATAAAGTGGGCCTCGGGCTAAGCTGCGCGAGGTTTAAGGCCCTGTGGGAACGGTGGATTTTTGCATGTCGAAATTGGAATCCTTTTCCCCCCTAAAACGAAAAGCTTAATGTTTGCATATTAAATAAATACCACTCTACCATCACTCTGTCTCTCTCCCATACACCCTCTTCCTTTCGCAGACTTTCACTGTCTCATCTAAGGATATTTATATGTTTCTTGTTTTTTCGCGAAAGCTAAATATTTATATTTGCAACAGGACGTGGGGCGGCGGCGAATTTAATTCGATCCCCGTCGGCGCGCAAATATTTGGAGCTCCCTCATCTTATTAAAATGGCCCGAAGGCAAACATCAACTGTACTTAGGTAAATTGTCGTAATTCTTTCGGTGCCTTCCTCTTCTCTCTCTTCCTTTACGGTTTCATCACTTCGTGATTTTCCCTGCCTTCAAGTGCGTGCGTTCACAACCCCACGCTGAGGGGGACTTCACGGTTTAGGTTTGATGGTTCAGGAGGCGGAGGGAATTCTGAATGGAATTCAGGCCGAAGCGAGTTCATAAATCCGACTTATGTATGTACCATGGAGGGCTAATAACCCTTAAATATTTGCCGTTCATGGGGGGTTTCAGGGAGGTGCACTATGTGAGTGCACGAGACACAGAGTTAGAGTGGGAGGAGATTTTGGCATCGTGCCACCACCGCGCTATCGATTCCGAGAGCGCATAAATTTGGAGAGAAAACAACCCGAAATTAGATCCACTACCCTCGTTTTTACCATTTCACAATTACCTTTTTTTGGTTGCGCCA